AAAAAAATCCGAACTCGGGTTTGGCCTAGCAACTAAAATTTTCTAATTGAAAACATTTTTTCTTCAAATTACTTGGAAATTTGAATTTGTTATTCTAAAACCGAGTACGGATTGGGCTTCAGCTTTTCAAAATACATAACGATAACTGGGTACCATCAAAATTACATACAACTTATGTGTGCCACAATCAGGTCAACGTATTATTTTTATTTTGATGCGATAATAACAATAGACGCAAAATATAGAAGAAAACTAATCGAAAAATGCTAGGCTTAAGTTCATGCTTAATATTTATGAAGGTCTTCATTTTGAGTATAATTATTAAAAAAGATTTTAGTCTAATTTCATATGTACATTAGACTGCATCACTCCCCATACAAAAAATAATAGGTAATTCCGTTGGAATTATAAAATCTACTACATTTTAAGACGCCCACCAAAATATTTCGGAAAAATATTAAGATTTAAGTGAGCTGGACCGATTTGAAAATACCTCCAAAAATGGTTTTTTTTATGAATAAAAATAGTTTCTTAAAGATTTTTTTGAAAAAATCCCCTCAAATGACAAAACGGTTAAAGCTTAAAATATTTGCATAAAAATATTAAAAAAAATTTAAAAAAATTTTAACGGAATCATAATGATGCTGTTTTTAACATTTTTCAAAGATTGGTATAAGAAAAACTTGAATAACTGAACCTAAACTCTTCCGATTTAGACTTAAGAGGTGTCATTGGAAAGGTATTTTCTCACCCTTTTCATTTATTTGCTAATAAACTTATTCAAAGGATGGAAGAGAAAGGTAGGCGAAACGAACCTCATTCAAAGTTGAATTAAGATGTTTTGGTATTCGAAGATGTTATGGGACACGAATGACGTTTCTTTTGGCCAGAAATAAAAACGGTGTGAAAATACCTTTCTACTGAGATCCCATAAGTCTAAATCAGAACAGTTTTGGCCCAGTTATTCAAGTTTTTCGTAAATCAATCTTTGAAAAAAGTAAAAAAACAGCATCAAAAATCTCATTCTTACGATTCCGTTGAAAAGGTTTTTAAATATTTTTATGCAGATTTTTTAAGCTTATTCTAATTTGTCATCTGAGGGGACTTTTTTCAAAAAGTTCTTTAAGAAACTATTTTTATTCATAAAAAACTTCATTTGTGGAGGTAATTTTAAATCGGTCCAGCTCGCTTAAATCTTAATATTTTTCCGAAATATTTTAGTGGACGTCTTAAAATATAATACATTTTGTAATCCCGACGGAAAAACCGCAACTTTTTTTGGTGATGCAGTCTAATGTACATAACTACATACAAAAACGAATATAATAAAAACGACTTCCAACTTGTGTAATTAAACCATCTTTGTAAGAAACAATAAAAAGGTATGAGGAATGTTTTTATTTATTTATTTAATCAAGTGGAATACAAATCCTTACTGACTATGTATTAAACATAGGAGCTTAAGCACTACCTAAAGTAATTTAGCTGGAAAAAATAATTTAGTAGCCGCTACAACAACAACACCAACTGTTCCCAATGGCAGAGACGGATCATATTCAGAGATGTAGTGATTTAGTAGCCGCTACAACAACAACAACAACTGTTCCCAATGGCAGAGACGGATCATATTCAGAGGGCTCATTTAACTCAGAAAGGGTTCTGAACAAAGGCGATAATTTTCGTAGTAGTTTTTAGAAATCCCAAGTAAAATAAAGAAATGTGACGCGAATTATGAGACGGAACATTTAATACTAACTTCCCCAAAAGATTAGGACAATCGACTGTGCCTTCCACTATTTTAGCCACAAAAGAGGCTGCGAGAGAAGAACGCCTAGTGTTTAACGAACTTAAATTAAGAAGTTGACAACGAGAAATATACGGAGGTATGTATAGGCTCCGAAAATTTAGAGAACTCAAGGCAAATTTAATAAAATTGTTTTAATCTTTTCAATGCGGTTTATATAGACGGCCTGATTGGGTCGCCAAATGAAAGATGCATATTCTAACCTAGATCTCACTAAAGTAACATAATAAAAAACTTCAGAGTATAGGGATCCTTAAACAACTGACCATGTGGAATAGGAAAATTTACTAACATTTAAGGAATTAAGAGAACAACAATAATGCAGGCTATCAAGCTCAGATTGCAGCAAAAAGTAGTCTTGATCACTGTGTAAACCTTTAGATTGTCAGCATATAACAAATACTTAGATGACTGGAAGCATGATCCAATATCATTTATGGATAGGACAAATAAAAGAGGGCCCAGGATACTACCTCGGTGTACACCCAAAGTAACTACAAAAGGAGTGGAAAGTAGGTTATCAAAAGCAACGCCTGTCGGAAAGGTAGGAATTTATCCATCCAGAAGAGTTGAGTGGAAAACCAATTGCGATAACTTATTAACTAAGACTTTATTCGAAACTCTATCGAACGCCTTCGAAAAGTCGGTGTACACAGCGTCCACTTGCAGACCTGACTGCATCGCATGAACACAGTCCTCCATGAAGGTAGCAAGGTTGGAGGCAGTCGACCTGCCACTAACGAAACCGTGCTGACAAGGGAAAATTAAACTTTTCACTGCGAAATTAAGCTTCTGTTTGACAACTGATTTCTAAACTTTTGGAACAGTACCTAGTTTGGAAATAGGCCTGCAATTCGGAACATCATTATTGGTGCAGCTTTTGTAAATTGGTGTAATCAAAGCATTTTTCCAGTCGTCAATAATAAAATATACAGACGAAAGAGATTTGTTGAACAGTATTGTTAATGGCTGAACAAGCGAGCGATAACGTTTGAGCATAGCACCTGAGAGGCCATCAGAATCCAATTTAAACGAGTGCTTTAAGGACCAAATGGCTACTTCTACGTCACTTTCAGAAACACGCAGTGCGGCTAACTTAAGGGCAGATTCTGAAAGAGGGCAACGTTCAGAAACCATATCGAAATTCGAGACATAATTAGAGGAAAAAAATTCTGCTAAGAGATTGGCTACCTCAGTAGGTGTGTTAGATAGATTGCTTGTCATTGAAAAGGACATAGAACGGTACACTCGACTTGGCGTTCTTAGATTTTACAAAACTCCAAAATACTTTAGGGTTGCTTTTAATGTCTGCTTCACTTTTACTAATAAACTTATTGTAAAGAGTTTTGTCCAATAAATTAAAGTTCCTAAGGCAGTACTGATATATGACTAAAGACCTACTTGCCCTAAATCTTTTAAAGATCGTATTTTTGCGATTTTTGAGTTGCTTAAGCTCTTTTTTGTATCAGGGTAACTTGTTCGACTTCCTTGTAATTAATGGCACTATTTCTACATTTAAAAACTTTTTATGCAGCCTTAGTGTCGCAAATCAGTACATGTTCCCACTCGTGATCATGAAGGCGGCTATTTAAGACATCAAATTTGCACAAACTAAAGCTAAAACTTGGTCAGCATCTCTCAAGAGGAACAGTAGCGAAAACATAAAATTGAATATGACCTTCCATAGGAATATGATGAGTATTTGCGCGAGTTATTGGAGATGGGCATTCAAACACCCAATAACTTACATTATTGCTAATAAAGATAAGATCTAAAATAAGTATAAGTTTATTTACAATTCCATTAATTTGTTGCAGACCAATACTTGGGAAGCTATCAGTTACATATAAGTTACTGTAGTTGCATTAACCGTGGTAAAATACGAGGAGTTATTGAAGTTATTCCAAGAAACATTTCACAAATTAAAATAACCAAGTACACAAAGGTGGTGTTCGCCAATCCTTGAACTGAGATGCAAGTGTATTAACGACCTGTTGTTGTTGTAGTTAACCCCGCCTAGATCGGTTTGTCCCTCAATCGTTGTCGTCAAGTTCATCTAACGGGAGACCTAGAAAGTGTGCAACTCCGACTATGTTCGTCCATAGTGACAGGGCGTTAGCTGAGTGGGGTTTTGGAAACCTGCGAAAGGGTGCCTAGAGTCATGAGGTGACTCTCCGCATGCTGGGAACTCGTTGGGCACATTTGCCTTTGTCATCCAGAGCGAAGTTGGGCTATGGTGGAGCGAGTTTCCCGAGGCAGCCAAATGTTTGTCCCGTCCACGTCAGATGGTTGAGTTCCCAAAATATAAATCACAGGTCGGGAGTCGGTCTCGACTTACATCTGTGAATACCGTTTATATCCTGTCGGTATGTCAGCGAGTCCAGAGATTGTGTTATGAACATCTGGGCTTTGTCCTTCCGTTCGTATTGATGCCTTCTGACGTGCCTAGGCGCGGGCTCTGCCGCAAGTAGGAGTCTTCATCACAGCGAGTATTTTAAGAAAGGAACCAGTTAAGGTCCGGAGTGCCGTATTCAGGCACCTTGTTGTTGTTGTAACAGCATACAAATTCCCCAAAGAGATTTTGGGGAGTGTTGCTGGAGTGACAGTCCTTGGCCAGATATAAATCTGGGTCGTTCCGGTTACGTAGACCCGACTGTCGTGGGAACTGTCAGGCACCTCTTCCTGCTCGGTTAGACCATCTCGAGAAAAAGTTCCCTAGGAAACTCATCTCTTGTATTTAGTTGTTGTTGTTTCGTTACGAGGCAGNATGTTTGTCCCGTCCACGTCAGATGGTTGAGTTCCCAAAATATAAATCACAGGTCGGGAGTCGGTCTCGACTTACATTTGTGAATACCGTTTATATCCTGTCGTTATCTCGGCGAGTCCAGAGATTGTGTTATGAACATCTGGGCTTTGTCCTTCCGTTCGTATTGATGCCTTCTGACGTGCCTAGGCGCGGGCTCTGCCGCAAGTAGGAGTCTTCATCACAGCGAGTATTTTAAGAAAGGAACCAGTTAAGGTCCGGAGTGCCGTATTCAGGCACCTCTTCCTGCTCGGTTAGACCATCTCGAGAAAAAGTTCCCTAGGAAACTCATCTCTTGTGTTTAGTTGTTGTTGTTTCGTTACGAGGCATCCCTCGTCTCTTCTGCATAACTGCGTACTTGCTAAACGTCTTGTAAGTCATGACTAAAGTTTCTTTGCCCGCTCCCTGAATGCTGCAGGTAATAGACTAGAAGGCCGACCGTATTTCTTGCTCAAGGCTATTAACAAGTGGAGCTGGTGTTCGCAGAAAATGAGAGCGTGATGTAAAGTAATCCTTGGCACATGTTTTGAAGAGTGTATCAGAGGATTGAGCTGCATAAATTTGTAGGTTTCTGATAGTGAAGAATTTTGAAAAAAAAAGATCTGAGCGGTAGAAAGTAATCTTCTTGCAATGGCTGCAGATGTTTTGGCTGGTCGCCAAGTTGATGCAGTCGTCCGCGCATATCACGGTTTTGTAAAGATTTAACAGCTTGGTAAAGAAAATGCCACTTTGGGGGATTTTTATTTAATCCCACGCGGTTTGCTCTTAGGCTAGACGGGCGACTAGGTCCACGGGTAATTGATGATCCACCGCGAGTCAAGGATGTTCGGAAGTCCTCTTCACTTAGTTGACTTGGTTAGCCGTAGGTCTGGACCACGATCATACATATATTCGAAAAGATGCCTTCAGCACCTGCGCCTACTAGCTTTTGTACAACACCCACGCCTGCGTTGGAGGTTATTTGTTGTTTGGAACTCGTTTTTTTCTGGCAGTTATAAAGTATTCTGTTATATCGCATTTCTTGCAGTTTTGCTAATGTCAAAAATTTGAGTTTGCAAAACTTAATCTACTTACAAGTGCTAAATAAGATTTGAATTTGATGTTGCCAATTGATTGCGTACAATCCAGAAACTTAATCATTCTAGACTATTGCATACAAAATTGTGAATTATAAAATTACTTTTATAAACAAATGAATTATTTGACTGTAAGCCCAATTTTCAATAGACATTGAAATAGCAAAAAAAAAGTTTGCCCTAAAAAATTAACTCACCGATTATAATCATTCATTATTAAATGACTTGGATATTTTTATTTCCTCGCATCATTTCATTTAATGCCAAGTGAAAATCCGGCATTAGTGATACCGTTTCTATAGTTCTATAGTTTAAACAAAAGGTGGTACCTCGGAGGTGGTCCCATACTAATTTGGTTTAGATGAGATCATTGGATCATAAAGAAATTACCGATAGTCTTAAATTTTTATATGAGAACTGAAGTCGGGTTTTTTTTTGCTTAAAAATTACTTGTTTAAACAGATATTAAGTATAAGTATTTGCTTAATTTTTAAAAATATTCTTGTTTATGTATTTATTCAAAGCTGCACTTTTCCAAATCATGTAAACTCAAAACATTATTTTACAGGATTTTCTTAACAAAGTGCTATATTAAAATATTCATTGCGATATTGGCAATTGATTGCTTACAATCCAGAAGCTTAATCATTCTAGATTATCGCATACAAAATTATGAATTATGAAATTACTTTTATCTACAAATCAATTATTTGACTATAAGCCGAATTTTCACTAAGCATTGAAATAGCAATTAAATGACTTGGCCATTTTTAGTTCCACATTCATTTCACTTAATGCCAAGTGGAAATCCGGCATTAGTGATAACTTTGGACACCGTTAACCGTTTTCTATAGTTCTTTTTTTAAACGAAAGGTTGTACCTCGGAGGTGTTGCCATACTAATTTGGTTTAGATGAGATCATTGGATCATAAAGAAATTACCGATAGTCTTAAATTTTTATATGAGAACTGAAGTCGATTTAGGTTTTTGCTTAAAAATTACTTTTTTAAACAGATATTAACTATAAGTATTTGCTTTTATTTAATTTTTTTCCATATTCTTATTCTTGTTTATGTATTAATTCAAAGCTGCACTTTTCCAAATCATGTAAATTCAAAACATTATTTTGCAGGATTTTCTTAACAAAGTGCTATATTAAAATATTCATTGCGATATTGGCAATTGATTGCTTACAATCCAGAAGCTTAATCATTCTAGATTATCGCATACAAAATTATGAATTATAAAATTACTTTTATCAACAAATCAATTATTCGACTATAAGCCGAATTTTCACTAGGCATTGAAATAGCAATTAAATGACTTCTATTTTTAGTTCCACATTCATTTCACTTAATGCCAAGTGGAAATCCGGCA